AGTTAAAATAATAAGGTGGATCTACATATTCTGACATGGAGAGATTTCCAATTCATATTATTTAGTCCCCCAAAATTAAAGCAATCAGGCACAGTACAAAGCCCTTTATGTAGCAGGAAGTAAAAGAAACAAGGGCCTGGTCCATCCATCTGTTTATTTCCTTCCTCCTACGTACCCCTAGTCACAGACATTTGTTACAATCCAGTGTGGCAGAACTCAGTAATTTCCTGTATTTTCCCTTTCAAAAAGAACTGTAGTTAATGTTAAATAAATGTCTAAGTCAGTTGCCATAGGACTTGCCACAATAACAGTCACACTTACATGGGGCTGTCATTACTCACAGTGCTTTACATGAATTAACTCATTTAACCCTCACAATAGTCTTATAAGACACTGAGGCACAGAGAGGTGAAGTCACTTGCCCTAGGTCAGACAGCACAGCAAGGAGGCGGCAGACCCAGGATTCAAGCCCAGGAGCCTGTGTCCTTAACCTCTATGCTGAAGGTGCTTTTCTTTGTTTCTACTTTTTGTGTATGCCTCAGTGATGGCACTCAGAACGCTGTGTAAGAATTAACGGAAAAGAAAAAAAAATCCCCATTCCCACCCTAACCTGTGGCTCCGTTTATGGACTTGTAGGTTTGAGGTACCTATAAGGAGCTACTGATGCCTTCTGGAAACTATGTGTGGGCTGCTACTGAGAGAACATGACCATTTGCTGTGACTGTGTTAGTCAAGTGATATACATAGATCTCCCCAGCAAGCGCCTCCTGAGGACCGGTTCCAGCCCCAACCCTAGGTCATATCAAGTACAACTTCAGCTATTAAGCTGGCTAATGATGGTCCAGGTGTAACAAATCCCACCTGATTGAAAGCAGCAGGGGTAGACCTGCTAACTTTTATAGAAACATAGGTACAAAGTATAAGATTCCTAGGACTCTGATTCTTGGCTCCTCAAAAGCTTGAGGAACAAATATTGATGCCATCTAAAAGCAAATTAGGAGGCTTTGCGCAGGCCTAGGCCCCCGAATAATGTGCTGGAGATGACACTGTGTTTAGTGCTGTTTCAGGTGAAGTCAGCATCCCTCCAATGTGCAGACCTACTGTCATAGCAATATATATCCCTGGTTCACACATGGAATGTTTGCTCTCTGGCAGCCAAATGCACTTGGAACTGGCAGTAATGATCGCACAAAAGCAGGAAAGCTGAGCAGTCAGTCACATGACTACCAAGGTACTGAGATGGAAGAATTGGGCATCACTTAATGAAAATATCTTGGCATCTCAGAATCAGAAGTTTCCAAACTTGGAGGCAGTTTCAGAACCATCATATCCAAAGTCCTTGTTTTACAAATGTGGCAACTGAAGCTTTAAAAAAAAGGTAGGCCTCAGGGCTCCTTGCCTGAGCAAAGTTAAAGTGTACTTCTTCCAATACAATTCACTCAGACCTCCCTTTCAATGACAGCAGGGCCTTTAGTCCCAGCTACAGTCATTAATTCATCCCTGGTACTTGACTTCTATTCCTCCTTTCCTCTTAATGGTCCTGTTTTCATTTCCTTTTGTTTTTGAGACTGAGTCTTGCCCTGTCACCTAGGCTGGAGTGTAGTGGTGCCATATGGGTTCACTGCAACCTCAGCCTACAGGGTTCAAGTGATTCTCATGCCTCAGCATTCCGAGTAGGGCTAATTTTTGTATTTTTAGTAGAGATCCCTGTCTCTTCACTATGTCGGCCAGGCTGGTCTTGTACTCCTGGCCTCAAGTGATCTACCCACCTCGGCCTCCCAAAGTGCTGGGATTACAGGTGTGAGTCATTGTGCTAGGCCACATTTTTATTTTTAATTGTTCTGTTTGTGTTTTGTTTACTCATACAGAAAAGGAGAATCATACCTCCATTCCACCACCCCACTCCAACCCCTCCGCCGTGGCTCCAATGCTACAGACCACTCCCAACTTCAGTCCCAGAAGAATGGAAGGAAGGCTGCAACTTAAGAGACTGGGGTTAGAAGTGATCTTCAGAAATTGTTTGCCTTGCCTGCGTCTAGAGTTCTTATGGTTTGGGTCCTCCAGGTGGTTTTCAGGCTTTTCTCTTATGTAACCATGTTTATGAGGTGAAGTTATTTGACAATGTGCTTGTACTGCTTTCAAATAATGAAAACCAGCCATTGCCCTACTAATGTCTCATCAGAACAAAAATTCTGCCTTCCACGTGCAGACTGCTCTCTGGTTTTCAAAACTACTGCTTCTCCCTTCCGGAACAGCCCTACCTTCCCACTTGGAAGGGGGCACGGGAAAGTGGCTGCACTGAGTTGCCCCTCCTGCCTCCCTTCCCTCCCCTCCCCTCACCCTCTCCACCTCCTCCTTTGCAGAAGGCAGTGGGTTGATGTCCACGTTGATCTGCAGGTGGGTTCCAGTTGGACAGTCTCTGGACAAAAGCAAAGCCTACTTTTCTCCTCAGGGTGAAAGGGGTGGGGAGAGGCCATGAGGATGGGAGGAGAGTGCCCCAAATCAAAATGCTTCTCCCGGAGTCAGGAAAGAATTCCAGATCACTAGCTCTGACCAGACTCTTGTGCTAAAGAAACAGGCTGCGGCCGGGCGCGGTGGCTCACGCTTGTAATCCCAGCACTTTGGGAGGCCGAGGCGGGCGGATCACAAGGTCAGGAGATTGAGACCATCCTGGCTAACACGGTGAAACCCCGTCTCTACTAAAAACACAAAAAAATTAGCCTGGTGTCGTGGCAGGCGCCTATAGTCCCAGCTACTCAGGCAGGAGAATTGCTTGAACCTGGGAGGTGGAGGTTGCAGTGAGCCAAGATCATGCCACTGCACTCCAGCCTGGGCAACAGAGCGAGACTCCATCTCAAAAAAAACCACAAAAAACAAAACAAAACAAAACAAAACAAAAAAAGGCTGTAAGGGCAGTCTCTTCTAACACTGCCCTGGAGCTAGGTTATTTCCTAGACTGGCTCAGAAAATATCTGTCTTTGAGAACAGTGCCGCTTTAGCATAGAATCTAGCAGAACACCGTCATTCTACATGGTCCTGGCATGACCTCCCCTTGGGGTGTGGACGGCCGAAAAGGGCACACAGTTTCGGTTTGACAGCCTAAGATGTGAATCCCAGTTGAGCCATTGACTAGCTGTGACCTTGAGCACATTAACTTTCCTGAACTTCAAGTTTTCTCATCTTAAGTCGGGGTTAATAATACTTACACTGTGGCCCTAAAAAATCAGAGAGAAAAAAGAGTCTATGCAAAATGCTTGCTTCATACAAAGGGCCCAGAAGTGGTAGTTTTTTGTTTGTTTTTTGAGACAGTTTCGCTCTTGCTGCCCAGCCTGGAGTGCAATGGCGCTATCTCGGCTCACTGCAACCTCCGCCTCCCGAGTTCAAGCGATTCTTCTACCTCAGCCTCCCCAGTAGCTGGGATTACAGGCGCCGCCACCACACCCGGCTAAGTTTTGTATTTTTAGTAGAGACGGGGTTTCGTCCTGCTGGCCAGGCTGGTCTTGAACTCCTGACCTCAGGTCCGCCCGCCTCCGCCTCCCAAAGTGCTGGGATTACAGGAGTGAGCCAGGGCCGGGCGCGGTGGAAATAAAATTAGTTTTTAAATTGTTGTTAAAATTAAATTAGAAAGTTTGAAGACTAAATATAGTTCAGACATTGTTGCCTGGTCTATTGGTCAAACAGATGTATACCGACACTGCTAGATGTTTTAAGATTATAAGGCCGGGCCGGGCGCGGTGGCTCAAGCCTGTAATCCCAGCACTTTGGGAGGCCGAGACGGGCGGATCACAAGGTCAGGAGATCGAGACCATCCTGGCTAACACGGTGAAACCCCGTCTCTACTAAAAAATACAAAAAAAACTAGCCGGGAGTGGTGACTGGCACCTGTAGTCCCAGCTACTCGGGAGGCTGAGGCAGGAGAATGGCGTAAACCCGGGAGGCGGAGCTTGCAGTGAGGCAAGATCCGACCACTGCACTCCAGCCTGGGCGACAGAGCGAGACTCCGTCTCAAAAAAAAAAAAAAAGAAAAAAGAAAAAATCTTGGCCGGGCGCGGTGGCTCAAGCCTGTAATCCCAGCACTTTGGGAGGCCGAGACGGGCGGATCACGAGGTCAGGAGATCGAGGCCATCCTGGCGAACACGGTGAAACCCCGTCTCTACTAAAAATACAAAAACAAAACAACAACAACAACAAACAACCCACCTCTACAAGCGTGAGCCACCGCGCCCGGGGCCATTATTATTAATCACTGAGGGACGCCTAGGGAAAACTCAGCAGGAAATCAAGGACTCTTGTGAGAAAAATGGAACCCAAACAGCCCGGACTGGCGCTCCCTGGACTCTGCAGCCGGCGGCGCTGCCCGCGGACGGGGCGGGCTGGGGGCGGGGGGCGCGGCGGCGACAAAGGGGAAGGGGCTGCGCGGCGAGGTTTGCGTCGGGAAAGGTGAGGGCGGCCCGGGCCTCCCGCGGGGGAAGGAAGAGGTGCAGCCACGTGACGCAGCTCAGCCCAGCCCCGAGCGCGCCGGGACCGGATGCGGGAAGTGGGCTCGGGGCCCCGCTCCCCTGCCCGGCTCGCCCGCCCGCATCAGCCGACCTGGTTTCCGCGGGCCCCGCGCCCGGCCCCGCGCTCCGCTCCGCGCCCGCCCGCCCGGCCCTCCCTCCCCAGCTAGCCCGGCCGCCGCGGCCTCTTCAGCCCAGCGCCCGGGGCCGTCCTGCAGTTCCCCCGAGTGGGCCCGCAGGCCGCGGCCGCCTGCTCAGCGCAGGACCCTTCGCCTCCCCGGGACAGGCGCCTTCACCTCGGGACCCGGCCGCCCTGTTCCCCGCGGCCGCCCCGCTCCCCGCGACGCCCCGCGCCCCGCGACTACCTCCTCTCCGCGGCCGCCCTGCGCCGCTCTGTCCCCCTGCAGCCGCCCAGGCCTCCAGCGAGGGCCGCCGAGGGCTCCAGGCACACCCAGGCCCGTCCTTCTCGCCCGCAGCGCCCCCCCGGGACCCTCAGGGACCCACCTGCCCTGCCCCCGGGGCGCGGCTGTCTGGAGCCTCGGCGCCGTCGCAGCCTCGCAGCCTCCCAGCCTCGCGCCGCGTGGAGCCGGGACCGCGGAAGGAAGGGTCGCCGCGGCCGTCGCGCCAGCCCTCGGGCCTACATCCGCTCGCGGCCACGCGGCTCGCAAACTAGGGAGGGGAGAAGGGAAGAAACACCCGATTGGATTCGGGAACACGACTCTGTCCCCTCACGTCACCCTCCCGAGACCTGTGGGGCGTGTCGCCATTTTAGGGCTGGAGACGAGGAAACCGAGGCGCGGAGAGATGAAGCCACCGGGCGGCTGCTTTGCCGCGAAGCCAAAGCCACCACGTTTTCTCCGCGGCGGTGGTTGGAGCCGCGCCTGAGCGCATCTGCCACCGGCCAAGAGGTCGCATCTTTTCTGGAACTTGCTCCCCGCTCGCATCACGGGAGCAGTCGGTCTACTCTTCCAGTAGAAGCTGTTTTGCCACTTTCGGGGGGAATCTTGAGTTACCAACTCAACTCTCGGGTCTTAGATAACACTTTCCTGGACCCCACAAGATGCTCCAGCCCCTCTACTTCCCTTTTTGATAGCCCTCGTAATACAGTATTTGATAGCCCTCGTAATACAAAAAGAGCGATATTGCAATTGCCCTCTTCCTTGTTCGTCTCCCTCTGCAGATGGAGCGAAGGGACCTGAGCGCGGGCACCATGGCTTCACTGCCGCCGCAGCAGTAGCTGAAGTGCCATGGGCCGGCTCCCGGGGTGCCATAGGTTCCCAGGAACACCGTTTGAGAACCACTGAACTAGAGTCTGCAAGTTAACGTAAGGCAAGAAGGAAAACCAGAAACAACTGTAAAAACCTGACCTTTCATCACCTTCATACTGGCCATCATTTATCGAGTGCTTATTCGATAACAGACATGGTTCTCGGTGTGGGAGTGCAGTGCTCCTCGAACATAAATGGGTCCGAATCGCAGGGGATCTTGGTGAACTGCAGGTTCTGATTCAGTGCCTCTGGGGTGGGGCCTGAGAGTCTGCATTTGCAACAAGCTCCCAGGATACTTTGTGTAGAAAGGCTTTGGTGTATTAACGTATTCTGTCTTCTTAATAATCCTGTGAAATAACACTGCTATTCCCACTTTACCGATGAGGAAACAGGTTAAGTACATATGAACTTACATCAAAATAAATAGACTGCAGGGCAAGGAGGGAGGGGAGAATAGTGTGGGCAGTGTACAGTTTTAGAAGGAGCAGAAGCAAAGTTCTAGGCAGAGGAAAAAGGATTTACAGAAAGCCTGACATACAGGGCAGGGGGACGGGGCCTACACACAGAGCTGTCTCACCATTAGATATTATATGCATAGTACTTGGGGCTATGGGCTTCCTGAAGGTCCCAAGTATTTGAGACCTGAAAAAAGTTTATTGATACCCACATAGGAAAAATGAGCATTTAAATTAATAATTCCAAAATTCAAATCATGAATTGTTTCAAAGATTTTACATGATAGAATTCATATTTAGTAAGTGATATGGGTATATTTTAATGCATTTGATTTTAAAAATGGGGTAGGGCCTACTAAGAACAGGCCAAGCCCTGGCCCCAGTGGGTTTGGATATAATCCTGAGGGCAGCTGGGAACCACTGATAGAAGCAGGAGAATGTTCTCTGTGGCTACAGTGAGGAGAATGGATTGGAGGGAGGCCAGACTGGAGGCCCAGTGGCCAGAGACCAGATAGGCAGTCACACTCTTCCAGATTGCGAGACAATGTCTCTTTAGTGCCAAGATTAGCATAAAATCATAGCATTATATAACCCAATTATTCTTTGATTCCTTCGGCCCCCATCTGACTCAGCATTCTAAATTCACTTAAGGTCTGGGGACAAGGGTTTTTGGCAAATCCTTGAAGGCAAATGATGTTACAGTCAATCAGTACATGCCTCGAGCCAGGCAGACATGGTTACGGGCCTCAGTTCTGCTGCTTGCTAGCTGTGTGACTTTGCACAGTGATTTAACTTCTCTGGGCCTCAGATTCCTTACTGGTAACATAAGCATAATGGTTTCCTCACAGAATTAAGTGAGAAAACTATGTATATAGGACTTCTTATGGAGTACTTAGAAATAAATGGTAGCCGTTATCATTTATGTGCCTTTGTTCTGAAATATGCTTAAGTTTTCTCTAGGAAGGAACAGAGGGTAAATTATTTAGTATTTTCATCAATCTGAGATAAAAATTATTATCCTCATTTTGCAGATAAGGAAAAGGGTTCAGAGATTAGATCACAGCTCTGTGAAGTAGGGGCACAAAGTGGTCAACCGGGAAGAGCTGGGCTTTATTTTCCTTGTACTTCTGTCCATGCACTCTCTCCAGCAGTTGACATCTGCCTTCTTTGATGGCTCCATGACCAATTTCCCTTAGTCATGGCATGAGTCAGCCATGAGGGCTGATGGCACACCACCGAATACAATGCTGTGGTGCCACTGGCCTCCATTTCCCTTCTTCTCCAACGTTTTCCAGCCTCCCTAATACCTTGCCCCCCAGTTTTATTGCTTCTGGATTTTCCTTATTAAAGAGCTTGTCTCTGAGACTCAGACAGAACCGCCCCAGACTGGGATGGCTTCCAGGGTACCTCCCTTTCAAGGGAGCAGATAAGTAGGTCACATCGGGATGGTGAGGGAGGAAGCTGACTTCTTATGGGAGGAGGAAAAATACTGCAGGTCACATGGAGAATGGAAAACAAAATAACAGGGTTTCTCTGTTTTCCTAATTCTCTCACACAATCTCACAGGGACAGCCCCCTGCCGGCCACTATTACTGTGACTAGCATTCTGGAAACAGCACAGGCAATACTGATTTCTTGGATCTTGAGGATACTAGTGGCAACTTGAGGATACTAGTGGCAACTTGAGGATAAGCCTTGTCGACCCTGTGCTCCCCTCCATCCCACCTGCCTCCTCTTCAGGCTACTCCATAGCCCCCAGGGTATTTTTTTCTCCTATATGGTGAAGCGAAATCTCAGCTTTTACAGGAGCTTCCACCTTGTGGACTGCCCCTTGAGGGCCTAAAAGCACAGAGCTCTGCAGCTTGGAAGCTCTTGGGGGCAGGAAGGCTGCAGCAGCCCAGGATCCCGTTTACAGAGACGCCTTTGAAGCAACCAGGTTAGGTCATGGGCTCTGCAAGATTCCTGCTCCCCTTCCCAACCCTCGTGAAGGCAGTTCACAACAAGGAGTGTGGGTGAGCATTCAATTACATAGATCACTGTGAAAACCAGAGAAAGAGAGACAGCAACAGAGGAAGGGTGCGGCATTAGAGATCCAACACTACCAACCCCACCCTGTCCCACTATCCTTTGGGACTGAGCCCTGTTTGAATCATAACACTGGGCGGTCACATTTCTAGGAAACTACAGCTGAAGAGGAAAGGTCCTGGTTGTGTGAGTGAGGCTGTGTACAGATTAGGACTGAAAATGTGTATCCGGGCAGACAATTGGTTTCTGGACTCCATGCCCAAGGCACAAGACAAGCACACAAAACCAAACGACCAAAGCCTGACCCCTCAAACCTGAGGGTAAACAAACCTGCTTCCCTGGACGAGGGTTGTGGAAACAGGGAGTTCACCTCTGGAGCGGCGCAGGGGTTTTCCATTCTCCTGGCGTGGAGCCTGGTCAACTTCTAGCTCAGAGGCTCGCCGTTCCAGGATACTGGGAGCTCTCTCAGAGGCGTGGAGGTGATGCTCCAGACTTTGGGCTGGCACTCTGTCCCACCTGATTTCCACATTGCCCCCTGCCCTGCCTACCCCTGTTCCCAAGGCCCTCAAACTGTTCAGGGGTGCCAGGCTCCTCTGTTCCTTTTCTTCCACCCCTGTAAAAGGCATATTTCCCCATCCCTCAGGTGTCTGTGCCCAGGTGCCCCGTGGGAAAGCCCGCTCTTGCCTTCAGTAGCTCTCTCCCCTCTCCTGAGAGGCAAGGCTGGGTGACAGGAGACAGACGTCCATCTTCACCCGAGCCCTTCATTATGCTCCATCTTTCTAGTGGGGGCGGGCCTGTCAAACATGTCTCTTTCCTAGGCTGGAGGAATCCCAAAGCACCTCTCGTCAGTGGCTGTAAATCCCACAAGTATGTGGCATGCACACAGTAGCGGTGACTGTGGTGGTACCCCACACTGAAACAAGAAGTTTGGACTTGAGAGGCCTAGAACCTTTGTCTTTTTAGACAGTGACTGGCAGCTCCTCCTCCCTGGCACCTGCTCCAACCTGGGCACGTTGGTCTGCTGCCATCTCTGTGTGACTCTGGGTGCGCTGCTTACTCCAGGTCTAGTGCAAGTGCTACAGGACTACCCGGGAGAAAGGAGCCAGTCTTGAAGTCTCCATATCCCCCATATGTCAGTCACTTATGGATTGAAGTGGGGATTCTAAGACCTTAGTATGCATCGGGATCACCGGGGGCTTGTGGAAATACAGATCGCAGAAACTCTCGTCTCCAGGGTGTCTGATTGGGTGGGTCTAAGGATCTGCATTTCTAACGAGTGACGGGTGCTGCTGTTCCACGGACCACATTTGAAAACCACTGAGTCTGAGTAGAGCAAAAAGAAAACCTAGGTTTCAGTCCTGCCCTGCTGCTTCCAGGCTCTGTGGTCTTGTTTTGACCTTCCTTAGCTTCAGTTCTGCATCCATTAAAGGTGTAGGTAGCTGGGAGGATTCGTTTGTGTCATGTGTTTGAAACGCCCTTTCACTGTGCATGGCAAATTGGATACATCAATTAGTCAACAAATGCATCTTTTTTAGATGGAATTTCACTCTTGTCACCCAGGCTGGAGTGCAATGGTGTGAGCCTCGCTCACTGCAACCTTCTCCTCCTGAGTTCAAGTGATTCTCCAGCCTCAGCCTCCCAAGTAGCTGGGACTATAGGCGTCTGCCACCATGCCCAGCTAATTTTTTTTTCTTTTTTTTTTTTGTATTTTTAGTAGAGACAGGGTTTCACCATGTTGGCCAGGCTGGTCACGAACTCCTGACTTCAGATGATCCGCCTGCCTCGGCCTCCCAAAGTGCTGGGAATACAGGCGTGAGCCACCACGCCCAGCCTAACAAATACATATTTATTGAGTAGTCTGCCTGTTGTTCATTAGATACCCTGCCCAATGCCATGAAGATTCCAAGGCCCAGTTAAACAT